CTGGCAGTGTGTTATCGATTGATGCTTCGTAGACTCTCTCCATCAATTTGAATTGTGCTCTGAAACAAATGTGGTTCCCCTCTCTAGCAAAATTAATGTGATCAAATATTGCCTCAGTCTCATACCTGAAAAGAAATTGCTTTTGCTGCTAGATTTCATTTTCATTCTCAAAACTGATTTATGCATCTTAATAAGCTAATAACTTCAGTAATGTGAGTAATCCTTCATCTCAAAATTGCCCTCGGTAAGGTGAAAATCTGGAGTTATAGGAAGGGAAAAGAGCAGGAGCAGTTCAGTCTCTTGGGGATGGGGGAAGGAGTAGATCCAAATGCCTCAGTAGCTGGAATCTACCTCTGGGCACCCTTTGTATGAATTACCTTTGTACAAATCTGTCTTGCTTGTATTAGTTAGTAAACGGAGAGTGTGGAGAACTTGGGGGAGGAGAAGTCAGAATTAATAACTCAGTTTTAGTGGAGGCAAGTTTGATGCACAGAGGTTTTTTTTTTTTTCCCCCGCCTTATGTATCTCGGATTATTTTAAGTATTTCTATATTAGTGTTGATGGTGAAACTGCTCTCCTGCTTTGCCCTTTCCATTGTGTGTTGACTTTTCCTTCCCATTGGATTTATTTGTCCTACCTTTTTCCTAATTGCAATTTTTCCTTCCTCTCTTCCCAATAATCTTCTTGAGAAAATGGAGACAGGAGCTAGGACCTGTGCTCTTCTGCTGCTGGCTCTCTGCTTCAGGGCACCCTGGAGCTGATGTCGGTGGCTTCAATGAGCAGGGAGGGTGATGGTCAAGGATTGAGATGGAAATAGGTGAGGAATTTTCCTACAGTGTCTGCTGGGTCAGGATGTCTTGGTGTGCTCTGGCAACGTCAAACTTTGCTTTTGAATAAACATACTGCTCCAGAAGGCTCTTTCAGTTCTTAGTGACTCCATCTCAGCCAGTCCCTGCAGAAGGCTTTATGCTTATGCAGGTCCTTGTAAATGCAAATCTTTTTTTTGAGAATATTTTACTACATAGTAATATTTTTCACTTAAATTTTACATTTGACATTCTGCACTAATGTGCAAGCTTACTAAGCCCTCGTAAAATTGTTCAAATATAAAGTTCCCGTGAATCCTTCTCTGATTAAAAATTAAACACCCATCAGCTTATTCAGTTACTGTTCTTCCTCTCGCATGCTCGTGCCACTGAGGCTAGCTTTGACATCTAAAAGCTGCTTTAAGCGCATTTTATTTAAAAACTGAGGCTGTTGTAGAGTGCTAAAAAGGACTGCAAAAAATTCAGTGCTGTGGGGTACCCAAATGCGAAGAAGTCCCTTTTCCCCAGGCTGGGCTACTTAGTGCTTTCAGTCTTGAAATCATCAGCTAATTAGTGTGCTGGAAAAACAGGAGAAAGTTTTTTTTGTTCTTTTCTTTTGGTATCTGAAAAAGGATGCAAGAGTTGGGATCTGCCAATTTTTATGTGCACTGTAAAAGTCCAGGGCTGGACTGCTGATACTCTGGACATGGCATGGGGGAGAAGCAGAGAGCCTGTCTGAATTTCTGTGCAAAACAGGTTAGTGGACGGAGAATTGTTGTGGAGGGAAATAAAGTATCCACATCAAGCCAGAATGTATATAGCTGTTGAAATAATTTTGCATTTCTTCTTTTAAAGCGATCTGGATAGCCTCAGTTTGCATGATGCCCGTTGTGTCTGAGACGGGAAGCGGTGCTTTAGTAATGGGTTTGTGGGTTTCCTGGATGTCAAAGACAGTAACACATATACTGCTAAATTGCAAATACACCAGGCTTTACACTGCTGCAGAAACTCAGCTTAAACCACGGAGCTGGGGCATGAAAACGTGGTGCCGAAGTGGACAGAGAGAACCAGGTACCAGGGTGGGCTGTCAGATCTCTCTTGGTGGGAGTTTGGGATGAGAGGTGGAGTTTTTGTGGGGTTTTTCAGTTTTTTGAATATTTGGGCTCTGGGGATTGAGTTTTGGTGGAGTAGGTCATCCTTAGTGGTGGAGCAGACAGTCAGCAGAGCTTACGGTTTTTAATTTTCCAGTCTGTCAGTTGACTCTTCTGCTTGAGAAATAATACCCAGGTCTTGTGGCATAAATAAAAGCAGATATGTCATTCTTTCCTGGAAAAAAAGTCCCAACTCTTTCTTTTGTCCAAGGATATATTAATTCAACCTCTGAAAGTAATTGTAGAGCTGTTCGGAGCAAGAGCTTAAGATCAGATTGGCTTATCTCTCAGAAACAAAAATATGATCTACAGATTCCTTGTAGCACTAATGCTAGAACATCATGATAACTTTTATGTTTGATACTTATTTTCAGTATTTTGGGTGTGTTTTTTTTCTTCTGAGCTACCTTGTTGTATCTTGTTAAAGAAAATAATTGATTGCATTAAATCATGCAAGAATTGAGGTGGTTTCCCTTTGTAAGCAGTCATCACATTGGTTCTTGGTAGTCTTACACTTTATCTCAGCTTTATTCCTTATTGTACTGCAGATTGTGGTGTTAAGCTTTTCATTGCTGCAGTTAGAGCAAGATGCTTATTTTTAATCTATTAAAAATTGAGCACCAGCTTTCTCGAGTGATCTTGACTTAAATGCCCAGAGCTTTTAACAAAACATACCAAATACCATGGTGCGTTTGATTTAATGAAAAAAAAATAAGCATGAGAGATTGTAAAATTGCAGATGAAAAGCATAGAAAATTGAGCTTCAATAGTGCCTTGGTTTTTTTCCTTTTCTTCTGAGATAAGGATATTCTTTATTTTAGGTTTATTATGGGAACTGCCTGCTTTCAGCTCTCTTGAGCAATTGCTACCGAGTGAGCACTGTCTGGGTGAATGTCCCAGCACCATCAGAGATGGAGATTACTTGGACAAAGCGGATGATTTAGTGCTTCTTAGGGCTCAGACAGGGCAAACATTTATGCAGTACTGAAGCCAACAATTGGAGATTTTGTAAAAATCTTTTCAAGCTCAAAAGTAAGCACTGTGGGCCTTGATTTTCATTTTGCTTGATTAAATGATACTGGCAACACTTTCCATATCTATTACGTCTTATGCATATAAAGCTGTAATTAGGACAGGGAACCCAAGTAAGGGCTACATTAACGTCTTGGTGAAAATAACATTTGCAGATTTTTCTCTGCATATGTAACAGAAATTCAGCCCTGGAGATGAAATGGGAACATCAGGTTTGTGTCGGGTGGAAATAATTTTCAATTTGAAATAAGAGCTGTGTTTCATAACAAAATCTTCTGTTGTTTAGAGCTGGAGAAGATAGGAGAATAAGCACTGTTGGCTGGCTGTATTCCATTAAAACTTTCATTTTAAGTCTGTTTTTAAAGGAATCAATGAAACGGTAGTGCTGACTGCAAACTCGGTTTTTAATATGTGCACAGATGAATAGAAGAAGGGTGCTATTCAGATGCTCTAGCTGAGAGCAGCCGAGTTTGTGGTATTTGCCCATAAACCAGGGTGGTGAGGGATAGTCACCCCGTGGCTATCCTACTCATCCAGAGCAGTATTATTATATCATTATCTATGCTTTCCTTCCCCTTGCCACGTATTTCTTGGTTGTGCTGAGAAGTTTTCAGAATCATCTTTAGTACCTCTTGCCTTAATAGATACTAAGCTCTGACACTCAGAATTATCTGCTGAATATTTCATATGCGTCTTCCCTCCCTCTTACTTTCTTCCCCTCCCCAAGTTCACATCACCGGTTCACATTATGAAATCCTGAGCTGTGTGTCGCTTTAATCAGTGGAAAAAGGCAGTAATATATTCAACTTTTTGTAGCTTCAATGGCATAACACATCACACGTATAAGATGTGTTTGTGCAAAATGGTCCCAAGATTCTCATTGCTAGAAGTTAATGTTTTAGCAGAATGGCACGGTGGCATCTTGTGTTGCAAAAGCAAATAAAAACCATCAGATATGACTTTATTTTTGTATTCTGTGGTTATTTGCGGACTGGAAATATTTCAATAGAACAGTAAGAACAGGAAACAAAAGGAAAAAATTGGGCCACTGCTCCCCTGCTCTCTACTTCCAATGGCCTTGAATTCTTTTACCATGCTGTTCCCGATTTCTTTTTTTAAGGCCCTGCAATTGGAAAATTGAATTTGCATCAGTTAGAAATAAAACCTTTATTTCACTAAAAGATGCAGCACCTTTTATTTTCAACAGAAACATTTACCCTTTGCCTTCAATCTTGTGAGCTAGCAAAATTGCTTTGTCTCCTGTAGCTGGTGTGTGATGAGGTGACGTTTCTGTGGTTCAGATTTCTCTGTTGTAATAATGTTGAGATTTGTAGCTCTGGTTTCCCATTTGTCTCTGTTCCGTTGCGTGTGTTACAGGGTATGGTTTGTATTTTACGAGTCTTGACACTTTGAAACTTGCCCTAAACTTCGAGTTGAATATAAATGTTTTGCTCCAGGCTAGCTAAAAAAGTGATTTAATAACAGTAGGGTTTTCTTAGGGAAATTTAAAATTACTAGGTTGGGTTTTGTTTGGTAGTCTTGCTTGTTACTTGGTTTAATTTGCCTTTTAAAATCCAGCTGTGTCTTTCCCTCTGGCCAAATGGCTCTTACTTGCTGTAGTTGCTTGTAAGATCTACCTGCATCTTCCATGACTTGGCGTTTGAGTGGGAGAGTGAAAATATTTCCTCTTTCCTCTTAATGAGTTGAGCAGGGGAAAGGCTGAAAAAGAAATTGAAGAACACTGTAAGAGCAGCTGAGTAAGTAATTGGGATGTGACATCAAGGTGTGTCAGCCGGGTGCATGCCAATGCATAATACTTGTAATTTGCTATATATTAGACAGGTTACATGCCTATTTCAGAGCAGCTAATAAACAACTGTGACAGTTATTTTCTGTAACTTTTCCTGTTTTAAGAAAAAAACGCGAGCAAATCTCTGGTAGAGGGTCAGCGCCAGAGTCCACAACTGGAGATGGTTTGCTGCTTTACTAATGTGGTGCTCTTACTTGACAGGATGTTTCGCCTTCGATTTCTTCCCGTTGCAGCAGGGCTGTCTGCTGTTTCACGGCGTTACCAGGGGACAGCACATCACCCCAGGACCAGGCGTAGGCTCGTAGTGGCAGCTTTCATAGGGACAACTGCAGCAACAGCAAGTGCCAGATTCCTTTGGCAGAGGTAATACATATTTTTCTTGTTTTCTATTTTTTGCCTGGGGACTCATGCTGCTTTAGTCCTGTGGTAGGTACCTGCAGGTGGGTTTAAGATCTGTGGGAGACTTTGTAAAGTGTTACTGCTTGTCCTGCTTCTGCTGCATGGAAGGAATGGCTGTTGGTGACTCCCTGTGGGGGGCTTCCTTGCTGCTGCGAGTAGTTGGAGATGTGAAAAAGCTCAGGACTGAAGAATCTTCCTCTGTAGCTGTCCTCACACGGGCTATTCGCCCTTGGTGGGGTTTGCTGCCTGGCTTCCCCTTGCACGGTGGTGCTTACATGGGTCTGTGGTGGTTGTGAAAAGAGAAATCAGTTGACTTGACCAAGCTGGGTGAAAAAGTCACACTTTGAGGTTCTGGGAAGGCTGCTAGGGACAGCACCTTCAGCCAGGGGATGCTTTTCTGGTTTTCTTTGTGTTCTGCAGACTGCTTCATATATAAAATGTAGCAGGGGAGCAGAAGGGGACAGTCCATCTTTTGGTGGTAAGGTAGCTGCACACAGGACTCTGTGGCTTTTAAGGGCCAGAGACTAAGCATACCTGCTCATGGGCCATGAGGCTCAAAGCTTGTTGACAGAACTGTGGGGAGAAAGGGGATATTTGTGCTTGTCTGAGGTGACCCTCACTTGAACCCTGGGCCCACGCCATGTTAGAAATAAATCAAGAACTCCCTTCTCTTCCCTCAAAACATGGGAGCAGCGTGGCACCAGCAGTGTCACTTAAGCTCGTGGCAGCAACCAGAGTCTGAAAATAAAGTTTTCACTGAAACCAGTCTTACTTTAATTGCAATATTTAGCTGATTTGTATCTGGCTCTCTGCTCACCTGTGTTGCGGCTAGAAGGCTCTAGTTTTAATACAGTGGGAGGAAGATGATGATAGTTGTTCTGGCTGTTCCTAGAGCTGTCAAACCTTGATATCTGCTGAAAGGAGTTTCTCAGGCTGAGGAAGAACACCGTGATCCAGCACAGTGTCATCTTATGCTGCATTTTACTAATAATCTACATTTATGTAGTCCCTCTTTATCCACAGGACCTGAATGCCTCTGTGGGGATGGCCAGGATAATACCCCTTTTCAGGCAGGAAAGAGAGTGGGTTTTTTTCCACTTAAAACATCCTCAGCATGACTGTAAAGTAGGTAGAACATCATGCCCTCTGTAAAACTGTCCCAAAGACACGAGTTAATAATTCCCCTCTGCAGCAGATTCACCCTTGCTCTTAAAAACAAGCAAATTGTCAGTTGTTATCTTTGTCTTTTATCGGCAGGAAGGTGCTTCCTGCAGCAAAGAGCTGCTAATGGTATGTGGAGTGCTAGGTCAGGGATGATTTCAGGGAGTGATTTTTGGCTCCTGGAGTACTTGGCTGTTCCTTGGAGGCCCCTGGGCACTGTGGCCAGGCTTGACCTTGCTCAGCTGAGAGCACTGACTGAAGTCAGATAAAGGAGAGGGACAGCCTCTTCGGAGTAGTGTGGTCTGTGATCTCCCCAGCCCTCATCAATCTGGAGAGATTGACTTGCTATTACAATTTGCTTTTTTCTTTCATTGGTCTGTCTCCTTTGTCTTTTATAAATTTGTAAAGCACTAAATAGAATTGTGCAGCCTTGGAAGTATTCCTTTTCTATATGAGACATGGAATAAATCCACAGTATAGGTAACTGTAAAATAGAAGTGCATCCTGGTTTATGGTATTCATTTAAATAATTACTTGCTGTACAGCTGTTAAATAAGAGGAGGAACAAAACTGGTGTTTGGTGTAGAAAATATTTCATACTGACACCTGTGGAAGTTTTAAACAGACTTTCAAATAGGCATTTTGACATTGTGTTTAAAGAAATGAGGGATGAGGAACTGCAAATTTCCTTTGTCTTTCACAATGTATAAATTAGGTGATTAGTAGAGTTTAAGAATAAAAGTAGATGAATACAAAACATTTGTAATGACATCCTGTGTTATTCAGGTACTTACATCCTGAGTTAGTACAATAAGCCACAATAAGTATCGTGGTAAATATGATGAATTAGTAATAAAAGATAAATATGTAATACATGTAGCCAGGGCACAGAAATCAAATAAGCCAATTGTCACTGAAAATCTAATTTATAGACTACAGAGAGAAATGTCCGTGTACATCTGAGTACTTACACTTAGTAGTAAGCAATTCTGATTTATTAAACGTTGCAGTGGTATTTAAATGGAAAGCAGGTTAGGGAGCTCCTTTGCATAACCAGTTCTGTCAGTGCAGTTACTCTGTCGCAGGGATGACCTATGGTGCTTGTTTACCCTCAGTTAGTGACCCAACTGTGCTTTTGTGATAGGAAACTCCTGTGCTACACAGTCTCTGACAGGTCCAGCAGGTCCTACGTGTGGCTCTGCCAGCACTGTGAAGAATTACTGTCCCTTTGATGGCAGGTGACTCTAACAAGGAATGTGCGCCTGCTAATATTCTGCTTAACCTTGGATGGTCTGCTAATGAAGTTGAGACAATTCACTGCCCTTTGAGTAGGGAATACAGTAAGCAGTACTCTCCTACTGGCTGCCAGTGACATTTTCTTTTAAGATGAGGGATGTCTTTTTCTTGTGTTCTTGTAATTATTTTTCTTTACAGTTAAGGCATTAAGGATGTAATAGAGTGAATCAAGAAGCAGTTGAAAATCTTATGCTTCTTGGGCTAGGCGAGTAGAAGATGATGCAGTGTTGGAGGAAGAGCAGTAATAAAAAGAAAATAATATGACTTGTATTTCTTCTTATAAAATGACAAAGTCTTGTGTAAACACCCCAACTTTTCTCTACTACCATATTGGGAGCAGCGCTGCATTGCTCATGAGTACTTTTAAAACCCCCAAATTTTCTGTTTCAAAACAGATTTCCCATACTTCTGATGATGGTGAACCTTGCTAAAAGGGATTAATGTGGTGGTGCCTGTATTGTGAACTTAGCCTTTCCAGTACTTGGCATGAAGACAGACAGGACTTCTCAGGTGGCTTCAGACGGTCATATGCAGTGTGAAACCCAGCGTATTTCAGATTGATTACATATGATATGCTTTCATCAGCATCAGGAGCCAGTGCTGGCATAAGGAAGCCCACACAGAGTAAGAGGAGAAGTCAAGGATTGAAAAGATACATATACAAAACCCCAGTGATTGTGTGACGCAAGGCAAGGAAGACTTATTTTGTATCTTCCTAAGTTGGGAGGTGGGTTGGTTGGGTCTTCATATTTGATCTGCTTCTGCGTGCAGCCTTCTGCATAGCCATCTGTTGGAGGCGAGTATTGGCCTTGTTGTCTTCACTGTCTCCTGGAGCTCCTGCTGCCTGGTTTTAGTGGAATATAGTTCATCTGAATAATTGTGTGACAGGAGTAGCTGACGCTGCTCTGTTCTGCTGTGGTGAAGAATACTTCAGCAATGCAAGTAACTGAGCTTAGAAGAGTAATGAACTTTACCCTTTCTAAGCAATAACTTAAACTCTGAGGATCTCCAGCTGGCAACAGAAGCAATTAAATATCTGGGCATTGGTATAAAGAACTGAATTAATAAATTGAAATAAATCTTGGTGCAGTCATTGGCTAATCTAAATGAGGCACTAATATATGAGAAGTACTGAACCTCACAGTTTGCAGCAGGGTTGATGTTTATGAGAAATACTCTGTTACCGGTACTCGTTTAAAGCTTGTATTCGGTCTTTGTGGTTCCAAATACCCATTTGGAGTGTTATTAAATGGCCAGATATATTCATGTCATAAACCTTTCTGGCTGAGTCTATGGGCAGTGGACATCTGAAAGCACTTAAACTGGCATCTGGGTGCTGAAGCCTGTCACTCAGTCAACCTAATATTGAATGACATAGGGAAGCAAATATACCTTTGAGGTGCAAAGGAGGACATCTGTCTTACCAGTTCTCTTCCTGATTGACTTCCACAAATCCATTAGCAGTAAGAATAAGGGCAAGACATGTGTGTTGCTCTGGAAGTTGCTTAACAAGTGTTTGTGTCTAACGCAGAGCCCAGTCTTATTTTCCTGCATCCCCTTGGCTTTATTCTATACTCTTCTGCATTTTGCCCCATCCTGTGTATAAGCTGAAGCAATTAAACTTGAGATAGCCCTCTCCTAGTCCTGGTGGTATATTCTCATTCTGTTACAAGCTCTTCTTTTTCAGGCTCCGCTCCTCACCAGCAAGCTGAGCTGTTTAGGTGCTGGCTGCCACTTTTGCAGATTTCATTCCATCTTTACCATTTCTTCCCCTCTTCCTCCACCCTGTATCGACTGCCCAATTGCTTTACTGGAAGATCTTCTGTAGGAAAGACCCTTGGTCTTCCTTGTTCTGCTGACCTTCACTGCTTTTTGTGTTTGGCTTTTTTCCATCGGTGCTTCTGGAATGAATTTTGAAGCCTAGATCAGCCTTTACTTAGCTAACTGTTTAAGAATGCATTGCTTTTTTGCATCAGTGTCTAAAGGGCTTTAGAGTAACTTGCTTAGAATACATTTTTAATGGCAGAATTGCTGGAAATATCTTATGCCAGCTGAAACTGAGACTTTAAAAATCTTTGTTCTAGTAAAACAAAGGAAATCATATAAAACATAGCCAAGAGGGGCGAAACCTGTTTTATAGCTATAGATGTGTCAGGTATTACTTAACCTGATGTAGGAGAGAAAAGATGGGGAAAATGTAGGCATTATCTATGTGAGATTATTTTTGAGAGCTTTGCTCTCTTGTTTTTAATTCTTTGTGAGAGGTAACAGACTCAAGAGACTCTCTTTAGGATTACTGCGCCGAGGGATTTCTCCTAAGGCTTGAAGACACATTGATCTATGAGTGGTGTCTTGAAAGAGCACTGTGTCCTTTCAGGTGGCTTTTGGCTTCATATTATTTTTATCTATAACCATGAGGGGAAAGAAAGAATCTGATGTTGGGGGATTAGCCAAAGTCAAAACTGGACTAGATTAGGAAAATATCTGAACTGCCCTGTGGGGGGAGA